CCCCAAAACCCCAAAACCCCAAAACCCCAAAACCCCAAAACCCCAAAACCCCAAAACCCCACAGTAAGTCAGACTTATTGAATTTTATTTTATTGCCAGCAATATAATCAACTGAGATTAAAACTGACAAAAATAAAACTCTTCTTTTTGACAGTTTCAGTTTTGGCATCTACTTAGAGTAAGTCCAAATTTCGACATGTCCAAAGTCATGATCAGCCAAAATCTTCTCCACAACATTCTTCTCCATTCCACACTTGATCATTCCAATCTCCTTCAGATTCTTCCTAAAATCCTCCTCTTTGGAAAGCCCAGCAATCAGGTTTTCAAAGTGCGACTCATTGTTGCCCCAGTCGCCATACGAAGAGCCTCCTCAGCCTTCCAAATCTAATCTTTGCATCGTACTTCCAGCGAGGGTTCCTCCGAAATCAGGAACAGAAGACAGCGAGAGTTTGCATTCAGGAAACCCAAAGTACTCTGTATGTCTGTTAGCGGAGAAGAGGGCGACGAGCTGGTCCTGAGAGACTTCAAAATTATAAATATACAACACTCCAGTGACTCTCTTACTCACTTCCACCAGTTCCTCCAAGTAAAAGGACACACAACTACTCAGAGGAGAGTCATAGTTAAAATCGAGGAACCTCACTTTGTTGGGGAAATGGGTGGACAGGAAAGTCTTGACTTCTTGGCAGTTCAGAGGGATGTTGTCAAGATTAAGTACATCAATGTCTGGCATTCTCTTGTTCAGGGATGTTAGAAACTCCATGTGTTTGGGATTGTTAAGGTTAAGTGTCAGTTCAGCTTCAGGTCCGATTTGTTCGTCTTCCCCAGTGGTAATTTTGTAGAAGAGGGTGAGGTCAGAGCACTCGGAGAGGTTTAGCTTGGAGATTAGTCCCTGTTTAATGTTGTCATAGTCTGCCTTAAGATTCTCCTTCTCCTGTTCAGAAGCCTTAAGTTCTTCGGTATGTCTTTCGCTTTGGTCTTCTAGTTCCGTATTCAAGCTTTCAGCTATTGACTTCTCCAATGCCAGCTTCGACTTAAAATCTTCAATTTCTTGTTGGTGTCTTTGCTTGATCCCATGCCTAAATTCCCTGAACTTCTTGGATATCGTGTCAAATATTGCATCATACTTGTCTTTTAGCTCCATTTCGACAAGTTCAGAGCTCTTCAGAGACTCACCCTTGATAATTGAAAGCGATTGATTCCAAGCTCTAGTCACCAAGTGCTCAACGTAAAGTGAATCTTGTTGCAAGATATTTTTAATCTTCAAAGTTTTATCGAGCAGTTCATGTGACTTGTAGTATTTGCGGGTTTCTCGGGCTTCTTTTAGTTCATCGGAGATATGCTGGAACTCTACTCTCACAGTTGTGCTTAGATCATCTTCACCTGGAGGGATACGTCCTTCATTCAGCATTTGAGTGTAGGCTAGGAAATCTTTTCTGCAGATTTCGATAGCTTTCAGATCCGTTTCAATAAGAACGTCATCAACAAGGGGTACTGAATCTTCGTTAGGATATTGACTAAACCGGTGATACTGTCAAAGGTACAGTTTTTTCTCAGGTAAGTAGCAGACAGAAGCCTCACGGCATCCTTTGTGCTGACATTTTGGTAGTGTCATTAAGAAAATTTTATAAAATAAAAACAAATGCGTCATTTTAATACCATCAACGTCTGCAGACGATCTGGGGTTTTGGGGTTTTGGGGTTTTGGGGTTTTGGGG